AAAAAACCCACCAGTGCTCCAGCCCAGCCTGGGGGTGAGTCTGATGTGCCCTGTGGGGAGGGGGAGAGGGTTCAGGTGAGAAACTTGCTATTATTTCCAGCGGCCCCCATTCCTCCTAGTCCCCACTCTTCCTAGTCCCCTCTTCGTAGCAGTGGCCAGAACGGCAGGATGAACTTCACCTGAGGCCACGCACCTCTGGGCTTGGGGGGCACCCTCCTCTCACTTTGTTTTGGGGGAGGGTGATGTGACTTCAGCCTGAGCACAGGGTAGGGGGTAAGAGGGTTGGGGGCGGGGTGACGGTCTCCAGAGTCATTGCTCGCGGCGTTTCAGCACTTACTGCTGGGTTTTCTCTCATGCCATCCTCGCTGCCGTCCAGGACAGTGGGCGGCCACCCGTTTTCCACAGGACAAAACTGAAGCCCAAGCCGGTGTCACTTGTCCGGCAGACCCCCAAACCCGTGACCCTTCTGAGCCCAGAGCAGGGACTCGGGTGGACAAGGAGGGGCGCCTCCCTGACCCCCACCTGCTCTCCGGTTGGTTTCAGGGCAGGAAGACTACGACCGGCTGCGGCCCCTGTCCTACCAGAACACCCACCTGGTGCTCATCTGCTATGACGTCATGAACCCCACCAGCTATGACAACGTCCTCATCAAGGTGAGGCCTGCCCCCCGGGGTGGGGGCCTGGGATCCAGCCCCAGCCCCAGCCCTGATGCCCAGCCTCTCCCTCCACAGTGGTTCCCTGAGGTCACGCATTTCTGCCGTGGGACCCCCATGGTGCTCATTGGCTGCAAGACGGACCTGAGGAAAGACAAGGAGCAGCTGCGGAAGCTGCGGGCGGCCCAGCTGGAGCCCATCACCTACACGCAGGTGGGCTTGGGGCCCCTCCCTCCCCTTCCTCCCCTCCCCACCAGGAGCCCAGGTCCGCGGCACAGCTGTGGCTAAGAAGACGCCCAGGCCTTTGGCTTCTGCAACGGGGTGCCTCTGGCCTTTCGCACAGTGGAAGCAAACAGGATTCTGAGAATAATAGCTGTAGAATATTGAGAGCCCACATATCTGAGCACTTTATTTAATTCTATGACCCCGAGGCAGATACTATTAGTGCTCCCCATTTTATGGGGAGATAAACTGAGACCCAGAGAGGTTAAGGAGCTTGCCCAGGGTCACACAGCTAACCTGAAGTGAAGCGAGGATGCCGTCCCAATCACCATGGCTCCAGAGTCTGGGTCCTTAGCCATCATCCTGTCCTGTCTCCCGAGGGGACCCCGGGGTGGGCCCTTGTTCAAAAGCAGCCTTCCCCCAACCGTGCAAGTCCCGTGGCTTCCTGGGGCGTGGGAGGATGAAGGGAACACGAAGCAAATCCAATAAGGTTTAATAACAGGGAATAAGCATAAATAAAAGTAAATCTGTTTTAGAAATAGATATTTTTAATTCTAATGACAAGCTCCATTGCCTAAACGGTGCTTTCCAGAAGGGAGAGAGGTCTGGGGAGGAAGCCCACCTCTCCTCACAGGCCTGGCAGACACGAAGGACAACCGCGTTCTCAGAACTCACCCCCCCCCCCATTTCTGCCTGAGTTGGGAAGGAGGGTGGGGAGAGGTTGGGAGGGAGCAAGAGGGGCCCCACACCAAGGCCCCGCAGCCCCTAAAGCCAGCCCCAAACCCACCGGGGGGTGTCGGGAGGCGCCCCAGGCCCAGGCCCCGCATCGAATGCTGTCCCCTCCTCCCCCAGGGCCTGAACACCTGCCAGCAGATGCAAGCCGCCCTCTACCTGGAATGTTCGGCCAAGTTTCGGGAGAACGTGGAGGACGTCTTCCGAGAGGCCGCCAAGGTGGCCCTCAGCGCCCTGAAGAAGGCGCAGCGGCAGAAACACCAGCGGCGGTGCCTGCTGCTCTGACCCCGCGGGGGGCACTCAGCCCTCAGAACAGGACTGACAGGGCCGGCCGGCTGCTCCCCGGGACCCTGCCCACCCCAGCTCACGAAGGCACTCGGAGTTGTGTCTGGAGCCTGTGGCAAGACTCTTTAGACGGTCTGGAACTTTCTCCTTTCCCAGCTGGGCTCTGGCCAGGAGCTCAGGCTGTGGCCTGTGTGGTGGTGGGCGAGGGTGCCGACGCGGGGCCTCTGTGCCCTGGAACTGGCATTTGTCCCCAGGACTCTGGCGTGCCCTCTTTGCACTCTCCCCCCAGCCACGTGTCCCCCTTCAAACACCCAGTAGGTCCTCAAAGCCTGTGCTTGAAACAACCAACTACACTGGTCCGTGGGCCACTGTGGGTCTGGCAGCGCCCCATGGCCCCCAAGCCTATGACCCCGCGGCCCTGGGCTGGGGAGATAGGCAGGGCTGCATCCTCCGGTCTCGCTTCCTTCCCCCGGGAGCGCCGAGCCACGATGGGACCAGGCCTATCAGGAGAACGCAGCCCCGGACACGGACACAGGAATTGCGTCGCCCCCACCCACCCTACGCAGAGGACTTCAGTGGTAGCCTTTCGCGTGGCCGACATCTGCCCAGATCCGGGTGCACATGACCAGGGGGAGAAGAGACTCAGAAAGCAGAGCAAACTCCGTGGACCACCCATCCGACCCCTGCCCGGGGTCTCCTCACCTGCAGCCCCCACTGCCGGAAACTCAGATGAAGTGACAGCAGCTCCTGACCGTGGGCAGGCCAGTCCTGAGACTGTGTCCCTGTCTGCAAAGGAGTCGTCTAGCACCCCTGCCCCTCACAGCCCCCACTGCTGGGGGATGTGTTCCAGAGCCGAGGCCACCCTGGCTCCTTCAAGATCGGACTTGACTGACCGACCCCCCAGCCACAGATTCATGGAACTTCCTTCTGGAAGGTCTGGGTTCAGGGACCCAGGAATTTCTTTAAAGTGCCCCAGGGGATTCCAGTACCCCAGAGACTGACAGCTGCTTAGTCCTGAGCTCACTCTGGAGTCGGCGCTACCGAAGGTGGGGTGATGGCTCCAGGTGGCTCCTGCTTCCCAGGTATCTCTGCCTCCGTACCCTGTGCCCAGTGCTGTGCCTAAGCCTGAGCTTCTCTGAAGTCACCTGCTAGGGCAAGACCTCTAAGCCCACTGCACCCCACCTAGGTTCCCGGACGCCTCTCCATGGGGACTCACCAGAACGTTCAGACCAAGGACCTCTGGTTCCAGCAGAGTCCAGGGCCTCGTGGACAAATGAGGGTCTAGAACAGAGGTCAGCAAACTATGGCCTGTGAGCCAAATCCGGCCGCTGTGTGTTTTTGTAAATAAAGTTTTATTGGAACACAGTCATGCCCATTCATTTATGCGTGGGCTGCTTTTGCCCCATAACTGCAGGCTAAAGTCATTGTGACTGACCATCTGGCCCGTCACAGGAAAAGGTTGCCAACGCGAGTCTAGGGCAAACCCAAGTTCTTAAAGGGCCAGATGGGCGGTGTGGAGAGTGAAGGAGGGCAGGGAGAGGAGGGAGTGGCGGGGTCTCCGCAAACCAGAAAGCGCGCCACTGCGGGCAGGCAGCCAGCCCAGGTGAGCGCTGGTCTGTGGGAATGCGGCCAGGGCTTTCCACTTCTCTGGGGAAAGTCAAGACATGGATTTTTATGTGGAATCTTACTGGGGGTGGATTCCGTATTTTAAAAATGTAACTAATTTAAAAATTTTTTAAACCCCTTTGAGGGCCACAGCATGGCTGTGGACACCAGCTATGACCTCTGGTCCAAGAGGATTTGTAGGGAAGTCGTTAAGGGCAGATGAAGCTCAGGTGTGGGAGAAGGGGCAGAAAATTGGCTTCTTCACCCTCCAATTCAGAATCTATCGTGAGGCGACCAGCAGCCTTGCCCTGTGTGACCTCCTGAAAGTGAGGTTGCCCAGACACCCCCCACCCCCATTTCTGGAACCTCTGAGTAAGGGAGGTGATGGAGGGCTGGGTGACATTGGTGCTGGCTGAAGTCCCGGCCGGCGCTGAGGGTCTGGGTCTCCCTCCGAGTTCCCGCCGCAAGGATTCAGGAAGATGGGCTGAGGATTGAGGGTCAGGAAGTATCAAGTAACGCCCTCCAACCACCCACATGGTGCCGAGGCTGGGGCGCCCTCTGGTGGTGACTCAGAAACCCTGCCTGCCTTGGGCCCCGCTGCTCCAGGGGCCAAGATCCCCAGGCCTCACTCAGGCCGGCCCGCCACTTTCCCCAGGTGACAGGCGGTCAGGGGACCCCAGGTGATCGGCGGTCAGGGGACCCCAGGTGATCGGCGGTCAGGGGACCCCAGGTGATCGGCGGTCAGGGGACCCCAGGTGATCGGCGGTCAGGGGACCCCAGGTGATCGGCGGTCAGGGGACCCCAGGTGATCGGCGGTCAGGGGACCCCAGGTGATCGGCGGTCAGGGGACCCCAGGTGATCGGCGGTCAGGGGACCCCAGGTGATCGGCGGTCAGGGGACCCCAGGTGATCGGCGGTCAGGGGACCCCAGGTGATCGGCGGTCAGGGGACCCCAGGTGATCGGCGGTCAGGGGACCCCAGGTGATCGGCGGTCAGGGGACCCCAGGTGATCGGCGGTCAGGGGACCCCAGGTGATCGGCGGTCAGGGGACCCCAGGTGATCGGCGGTCAGGGGACCCCAGGTGATCGGCGGTCAGGGGACTCAGGAAGCACAAAGAGCACAAGGCACAACAGCGGTTCTCTGAGAAGGTAGGTGCCCGCCCACAGAGAGACGGAGGCGGGAGGAGGAGGGAGCTGACAGCAGAAGCGTGGCCTGGGGAGGGAGTCCCCACAGGACTCCCAGGGCCCCCCTCCCGCCTCCGCCGGGGACTCTGTAAGTAACAGGTCACACATCCAACCTCAGAAGGCATGCCCACACCCTGCCCTGAGGGCTTCAAGTGCCAGGACGGGGGACAGAGGGGCTCCCTGAGGCGGTGCCTCCCCCAGGGAGACAGTCCGGCCAAGAGCAGCGGGGGCTACGATTCTAGGGAGGTGGGGAGGGTGCGGCATTAAATACGTCATAAATAGGAAGGGTGGCTAATACTGCTCGGACAGGCGGGGTCACATTTCTCTTGTCCAGTCGGGGGCTCGGGCCTTGGCCCTGCTCCCGGGGAGGCCACTGGCCCCTGAGGTCACTGCGCCAGTGGCCACTGGCGCTGCTGAGGAGGAATCGGCAGCGAGGGTGCCGACTGAGACCCCCCGCAGTCTCAAAGTCCCGGGCTCGGGGGCGCCGCCCCGTGGCTCACGGCATCTTCGCCTTGTTCCTGTTCTTCTGGAGTTTGGTGTGCACCACTTTGAGGGTGGTCAGGAAGTTGCCCAGGAAGAGGACCAGGAAGGTGATGGCCAACACGAACACCTGGCGGGACAGGGCAGCGGGGAAGGAGGAACAGGCCGTGCCAGCTCCGACCAGCTCCTCCTGCTGGGGTGCCACCCCACCCCAGACCTCAGAACCCTTCGCACAGGCCACCCACCAACTGCAAGGTTTCGCAGGCGGAAGGCAGACATCCGGGCCAGCTGGGTGAAGGACTGAGTCCTGGGGTCAGGCCGGGCCCTGGGGAGTGTTCAACGGGGGCCACCCCTGAGGGGCTCCCAGGCCCAGCAGCAGAGTCTGGGCCCCATGGAGGAGAGCAAAGGGGGCAGGCGGCTACGGAAGTAATTTCCCCCAAGTCGGCCCAGCCTTCCCCAGGACCTCCCCTGCCCCTCCACATACACACTGTTCCCCAGGACCACCCTCTCTCACACCATATGGGAAACCCCCGGGTGAGGCACCAGGACCCCAGCTTCTGGTAGCCACTGCCCTGAGACACCGAAACCCCCCAAATGAAACTGGGGCACCCTAGGCCAGAGTAGCCTGAGGGCCAGTTCTGGGCCCTGCCTTTGGGCTCCGTGGACCCAGGGCCTGCCATCGCCTGGGAACCCATGAGGCCCAGCCCGGGGATGGCTGGTGAATGGGGAAATGAGGGAGAGGCTACAGACACTGTGTTCCTGGAGGTTACCCCAGAGTAGGGGACACCCACAGACTCCAGGGTACTCACGTGGCCAAAGAACAGGAAAGGCAGGAGGAAGGTGAGGCCCCGCCACATCCAGGACTGGAATCCCTCTGTGGAGGAGGGAGAGGGCGAAGGCCTGTGTGAGGGACCCGGCTGCCCCACGGCCCCACCAAGCGCCCACTGCTTGGCCGTGCCAGTCACCCCTAGATTAGCTAGGCACAGACAGACACAGCGCGGGGGGACAGCCCTCAGCTCTTACAGGTGCGGGAGAACTCACCTTGAGAACCACCCAGAGAGCATGCAGAACGCCCGTCACCAGGCCTGACAGCTCAGCCTGAAGTCACCAAGGACAAGTAGGCTGGACAACACTTATGGAATGCTGATGTGCCAGGGACTGTTTAAAATTTTCTTTAGTTTGCACTTTATAGTGAACTTTCAAATACATCATTTCAACCGAGTCTTGTCAAAGCAAGGCCTACTTTGTGGAGCAATAGAAATGACCATCCTAAGAGATAGCAGAGTTTTATTAAAAATAGTTTCCCCTGAGAGCTTAGATGAAAGGTCTCCAAGCTTTTCTGATTGGGCACCCAACCCTATGAGATAAAAAGTTACACACACACCGCCGGCCGGGATGGCTCGGTGACTGAGTGCTGACCTATGAACCAGGTGGTCACGGTTCAATTCTTGGCCAGGGCACATCCTGAGGGCTCGATCCCCAGTAGGGGGCGTGCAGGAGGCAGCCAATCAATGATTCTCATCATTGATGTTTCTATTCTCTCCCTTTCCCTTCCTCTCTGAAATAAATTTTTAAAAAAATTTAATAAATAAAAAAATATATTTTTAAAAGTTCACACACATTCCCAATGTGTATATATGTAAATGTTGATATATATTTATATGTAGACATACTACACATCGGTTATATATGTACAACAGCAGTGGGCTAACACACACATACACACACACACACACACACACACATATATATATATATAGTATATTTTTATTATAAATCACAGACAAAAAATAGACATTTTGAAAGGATAAGAGAGAAGCCAGCACGGAGGGTGCACAGCTGGTCTCACACGTCACTAAAACAGAATCCACAATGAATTATGAAAAGCAACTTGGGTGGAGGCCAGCAGCCCTGCCTTCACGTGTGGGAGGTTCTGTTATGTCCTCACCGGCACATGCTCCCGCTGTGGGGAGTTAGGAGTCAGATCTGGGGGAGCAGGCAGGGGCCAGTACTAGTGCCCGCCCCCACCCCCCCAGGTCGGCTACTCACCCACAGTGAGGTCCAGATGATTCCTTTCCCCCAGAGCCCGCAGCCGGTAGAGGCAGCCCCGCTGGTAATAATATTGCAGGAACTGGACACAGCCTGCAGGGGGCGCGCAGCACGCGGAGGACTGAGTGACACTTCCACCGCAAAGGGGTGGGTCTTCACAGCCCAGAGGGTACAGCCCTCTCCCACCCACACCCCTCCCTCTCTCTCAAATAGAAACTTCTAGAGCTTCCCTAGGCATGCAGTAGGCACGCAAAAGAGGCTTGCACCGGGCTAGGAGCTGTGTGCAATGGGATAGTTCCGTACAATGGGATACTTGTACTGAGGGTGAAAAAAGCCCATGGTAATTGTTTCCCGGGTTACATGCAAAGCTGTATGTACAGAGGGATCCCGTGTTTGGGGACTATACGTAATGCAGTATATATGCATATACGTATTTGGGAGTAAAATGTTAGGAAGGACATACACCTATTACCAGTGGTCACCCCAAGGGCGAGACTGTACATAATTTTCATCCTCAGCTTTATATATTTGGACTTGTTCGTAAGCAGGGTTTTATTTAAAAATTAAGTTGTATTTTTTTTGAGTGGGCAATATGCACACGGTATAAAATTCAAAGGGAAGAAACAGGTCTATGGTGAAAAGTAAAACTCGCTCTCCCTGTCGCCAACCATTCAAGCTCCCCGACCCCTGGGGCAGTGCATTGTATATAAATCCAGGGCTGTTCCTAAATGAGAAAAAAAGAACATATATTTCCATTTTCAGGAAAACAAAGTTAGTGCCCCAACACCAGTGGGTTCTCAGAGGTGGCGATTGGTTGGGAGAAGAAAGAGGCGGTGACTGGGGCTCCAGGGGGGCAATGGGGCAGGCCATCGCTAGAGGCTGGGGGTGGAGGAGTAGGATGGAGTTGACCTGGGGGGCAGGTAGCTCTTTGGATTTCCAGGGACCTCCGCCAGTGCCCTCTCCCCTCCAGGAAAGACATACCCCTCCGAGGGACAGGGCCTCCACAGGGAACCCCGTGCCCCCTCCCCTGAATGTAGGCAAGAGACTCACTCTGAAATATGGAAAACGCTAAAAACTGACTGCGAAACTTCTGATAGATTAGTCCGTTGGGCCTGCAGAGAGGGAAAAGGTGAGGGGTCCTGGGGAATCAGACATCCATCCCGCCCATCCTGTTCCCACTGGGAGAGAGGAAAGGGTTTTACATTTAAACCCAAATCCCAGTGTCTACCTTCTCTACCACCCGTGTCCCTGGGGGCGCATGCAGTTTTGAAGTCTAAGTTCCCACAGGTCCCCCCTCCCTCTGGGCCTGACGCCTCGGTGCCACAGCCTGTCCTTGTGCTGCTGTCCAGCCTTGCTCCCTGTCCCCTGTGCCCCAGCCTTGCTCCCTGTCCCCTGTGCCCCAGCCTTGCTCCCTGTCCCCTGGGCCCCAGCCTTGCTCCCTGTCCCCTGTGCCCCAGCCTTGCTCCCTGTCCCGTGCCCCAGCATTGCTCCCTGTCCCCTGTGCCCAAGCCTTGCTCCCTGTCCCCTGTGCCACAGCCTTGCTCCCTGTCCCCTCTGCCCCAGCCTTGCTCCCTGTCCCCACTGCCCCAGCCAGCAGGAAGAGGGTACATTTCCAGGAAAACTCCCTGGGGCTCTGCTGTAATCTCACACTCTCCTTGGCCCCAAAGTCAGCCCCGCCCGGGCCAGGGCCTTGGAAAGCCATCTGGGCCCCTCACCCACGCAACTAGTCCCTGTTCACAGCCCCCTGGGGAGGGCAAGGGGAGGCGTGGGGGGCGGGGCAGGAGACACTCACCAGGTCAGCATCACTCCAGACAGGAAGGTGGACACGTAGTGGTGCGACACCCACCAGCCTTTAATTCTCGGAGAGAACAAGAGAAGGGAAAGCTCAGGCAGGGAGAGGAAGGCAGGCATCGCCCAGCTTCCCAGCCTCTGTGTGTGTGGTGGGCGGGGACTTTGTCCTCCTCCCTGTCCTACGAAGACGCACAACCACACTAGGCCACCCATCGATGAGCCAGGAGACCCACAGAGGCTTCCAGGTACCCTGAGAACGCAGCCCTAACCTCAGCGCGGCTATAACCACCTCCCTGTCCCTTCCTCCTCAAACCGCTGATACCTCAGGACCTGTTATGGACTCAATTGTGTGTCCCCAGAACTCACAGATTGAAGCCCTCGCTAGCCCCCAGTGTGACCACATTAGCAGAGGGAGTCTTTTAAGAGGTCACTGAGGCTGACTGAGGTCATAAGGATGGGCCCCCATCCAATGGCACTGGTGTCCTCAGAAGAAGAGGAGACGCACGAGGAGTGTGCGTGCTCACAGAGCGAAGGCCACGGGAGGGCACAGGGACCGTCCGCCAGCCAAGGACAGGCCTTGGGAGACACCAGCCCGGCTGGCCCCCTGGTCTCGGTTGCGGAGCTTCCAGGACTGAGAGAAAATGGATTTCTGCTCTTGGAGCTGCCGGTCTGTGTACTTTGTCAAGGAAGCCGCGCTGACCAACGGGGAGGGCCTTTTGTACTTTCTCTCTGCTCCCGGGCCTTGGCCTACAGGCCTCCTGGTCCAAGTTCAAGTTCTGTCTGTCACCTCCTCCAAGACCTTCCCCGACCTGCTTATCCAAGTCAGCCAGACAGCCCCGCCCTGGATCACACGGTCCTGCTGCCTCTTCCTCGAGGTGCTCACCGCTGTCTGGAATCCTTACTGCGTTCTCCTTTGTTTCCTGAACCCCCTTCCCCACTCAGATGTCAACTCCAGAAGCGCAAGATTCCTGTCTTTCTGGTTCGTTGATGCACCTGCTCAGAGCAGGTGCTCAGTAAATTTGCTGAATCAACACAGAACACACACACTTTGACAGAGAGCTGCAGCACCTCACACCACCCCAGCCGCAGCTGCTCCCGGGAGCCCACACCCTGGGCGAGTCTGCTCCTCCGTCCACTGCAAGCCCACATCCAGCCCTGGACTTCACCCCACCCAGTCCAGAAGCTGTGGGGACCCTGTTGTCAGAGCCCAGTGCCTCCCCCCCCCCAGCTCAGGGTTCTCACTCCACAGCCGGGGAGGGATGCTGGACCCAACACCTTCGCCCTTTAAAGTCCCTGAGATTGTCTTGGATCTTTGCTGGCCCTTCCTGGTCCCTCTCTGGGAGCTCAGATAACGGAACACAGGGCGGCAGAGATATGCTTTGCCAAACACAGCCTGGGAGCAGGAGGGCTCCCTCCTCCCAAGGATGGGGCTGTAGTGATTGGGACACCAGAGGCATCTATAGGAGGTATCACACCATTTCTCTCTCTCTCTCTCTCTCTCTCTCTCTCTCTCTCTCTCACTGGGGTGGGGGCCAAGCGAGGAGATGGGGTCGGGGGCACCACTGCTCACAAGGAGGAGGAGCCGGAGGACCTGCTGGCTTGGGGGGTGAGCTGCTGGATTAGACTTCCTTTTTAACTAAATCATCCTGCAACTGGTTTTCTCATCTGGATTCCCAGGCTGGTACCCATGGACCTGTCACATGGCATTTCAGGATGTGGCTCTGCCACAGTCCACGTGGTTGCGCCTCAACGGTCACTACCATTCTCGGTGCTGCCAAGACACCCCCATGGAAGCCCCTGGTGTGATGACACTGTTTCTCCAAGAAGTGGGATGACTGGCTCAGAAGTTGCCCCCCAAAATCTCAACCCCAATTTATACTCCCATCGGCAGCAGGGAAGACAATTTGATTCCCCAAACCCTCACCAACGACTGAAACCAAATTTTAAAATTTCTGCCCAACTTATTAGGTAAAAATGGGTGTGTCATTGAGATTTCCATTTGCATTGTCCTAACGGGGGTTTAAGTGGCCTCAAAACCTTCCGACCAGCCCTAGCTGGTTTGGCTCAATGGACAGAGCCTCGGCCTGCAGATTGAGGGGTCCTGGGTTCGATTCCGGCCAAGGGCACATGCCTGAGTTGCAGGCTTGATCCCCAGTGGGGGGCATGAAGGAGGCAGGCCATCAATGATTCTCTCTCATCATTGATGTTTCTCTCTTCCCCGCTCCTTTCCTCTCTAAAATCAATAAAATATATATTTAAAAAAAAAAAAAAAACCTTCCGACCAGAATATAGACATCATAAGAGCAGGGACTGGCTCGTCCTCATCCCTTCTTCTCTTTGCAGCCCCATTACAGTTCTGGGTGCAAACCAGGTTCAGTCAATGGCCTGTGGGTCCCTCAAAGGTTATGGTGAAGGACAAAGCTTTTTTCTTTATTCCTAGCATGACCAGCACTAGGTAAACAGAAGGAAGTAAATTAATGTTGAAATGCCCAGGAGGTGCATCTGGGGAAAGCCACAGCTGGTCTGGATGCCACCAGCACAGAGGGGACAGGAGACAGCTGCAGGTGCCACGGGAGTTCATGGGACAAGATAAGACGTCCACTCACTTCCCAGTTCCGCCTCTCCCTCTTCGTGTCCCTGTCTTGCCTGTCGGAGTCTAGGAGGCCCCTGGCACTGGTTTTCTGATAGAAAAGGCAGTTGGCCACCTCAGACTTTTAGCTTGAAGAGCACCCAGGAAACCTCTCTGGAACCTCCCCAGCTCTCTGCGAAGCCACACACACGTCCTCGGGTCCTGGCGAGTCCCGTGCTCCTCTGTCCTAGTCTCCAAACTCTCCGGACAAACGTCCTCTCTCCCCCTGGGAAAGGCCTGAGCCAGACACAGGCTCTGGGCAACGAGCTTGGTTGAGCAGCAGCTTTTCATTTCACAGCTTGCTGTGCCCGGAGCCCAGCGATGACAGCTGCCACTCAATGGCACTGGGAGAGGCTACACGTCGCTTCGTCCCCGGCCCCATCGTCCATCTACACAGCCCAGGCCTCTGGGCAGGTTTTGTGCACGTGTGTATGTTTATATAACATTTTTATTGTGATACAGTTCAGACCCATACAATTCACCCATTTAAAATATAGATTCAGAGTTGTGCTACGGCACCACAATCAGTTTTAGGACATGCTTGTCACCCCAGGAAGAAACCTGCACCCAGTAGCAGTCTCTCTCCGAGCCTGATTTGGACAGAAAGGATGCTTGCAGGGCGGGCGGGCTTTTTCATGAGCAGACAGTAGGTGCCCCGGGAAGCATGGAGCACTCCTGCCGGAATGTAGGGACATCAAGTCCTGGTGTCTGCGGCCTGTGCCCAGGATGACCACAGCCCCCTACAGGACACCTTGGCCACATCTGGATGTGTGTGGAGGATACCGCACCAGCCACTATTCATCTGAAGGCCATTCCTGTAATCTGGGCAGTTGGTGGAATGGCTTCTACACTGAGGCTCCCTCCGTTGCCAGCTACCACTATGCCTTAAAAGCTTGTTAGAGCCAGGTGCCCAAGGCTGGCTAGCCAGAAAAATGAATATGATCCCCGACTCATTATTTGTTCTGGCCCAGAACTAACTGAGGAGACATCTGCTGTTTTGCCTGTCTGTCAATCACCCCCATTCCGGTCCAGGCTTCAGCTTTCTTTCAGGGAACCTATTCACGGCCACTCCCAGTCAGGATGCTTGGGTGCTGCTGAATAATATAACTGGGCACATGACCCAGAGCCAGCCACAGCGATTGGCTCAGGGATGAGCATGTGACCTGTGTCTAGCCAATCAGGAGTCTGTCTCAAGATTACAGCTAAATCTACGAAGGAAAAGGACTCTGGGGTTGCTGATCCAGTAGGATGCTGACCCCGGCTGCTGGGAGCCAGAGCAGGGGACAACAGAATAAGGAGAAGGAGGAGGGACTGTTAACACTGAACCCTTTTTACCTCCTTGAACTATTTATATGCTCCCATAAATCCCCTTCATGTTACTCCTATCAGGTGGTTTTCAATCATTTGCAAATCTGCAAGGGAGGCTGACTTGCTTATCGCACTAACTAAGCTAATGAGCTACTTCTCACCTGGGAGGCATCAGACACAAAGCAAGGGTGGCTCCGTCCCACGAGGGGGAGTCCCCCACCTCTCCAGGCCTGCTTCCCTGACCGCACCTCCAATTCAGGTCCCAAGTGCAACAGGGAACAGGATGACAGAGGCTGTCACACCAAAACTGGGCCCCAAGTCTCCAGGAAGCCGTATGGCTCAGCTCCATCTGTCCTCAGAACACGGTAAGGCCCCACGGGCCCTGCCTCATCACAGAGCTGGGGTTGAATTCATTTCACACCAAAACAGGGCATTTATGGGGCAGCAACGCTGAGCGCCTGAGCTGACCCTGGGATGCTTCAGAGGTGAGAAAGGTAGAGCTCACCCCTCCCTCCTCCTCACTGTGCTCTCTTAGCTACTGGTTTCTTAGCTATTCCCTCGTAAGGGCCAAGTGTGAGGGGGCAGAGTGGTTCCACATGCAAAGCTTTGCATCACAAGCTCAGAGACAACACTTCCTGCTGTCCCATCAGAGCACGCATTCCAGAGAAGCCCTGGAAAAGCCCCAGCTAAAAGCGTTAGGCAAATATTTAGGCTTGGCTTTGGAACCCCACTTCCTCCTTTTGTCCCCTCCGATTTTCCTGGTGTGCCCCACACGTGCAGGGACCTCCGCTCAGTCCTGCTCCCACCCATGGCTTACCACACTAGAAAAAGAGCTGACCAGAGTAACTTACTAAAGTGTTAGTGACATCAGAGACGCAGCATGCCCCGAACACTCTTACTGTGAGAGCATCAGGCGGGTGAGACTCCAAGACTGAAGGCACAGGAAGAGCATTAGTGACCAGGAAGCCCTGCCAAATGCCCTGGTCCGTTTCCCCACTAAATGCTACCCTGGCTCCCCTCCAACCAGCCCTAAAAGCAGAAAGCCGCTATTCACTAAAATTCAGGCAAACAATGAATGTTATTTATTGGGTAAGATTTTCTACTTCGGTGTTTCCCAAAGCATGGGGTGTGTATCACTGAGTTTTAGATGACATTTGAGTGTAACACTAGATCAAGCATGTCAAACGCATGCTTGCACCAGATGATACTGAATTATATCTCTTTCCGTTCTCCTGATTAGGTCGAGGAGATGGTCTTGGTTAGATGCTAGTATATCTTGAATGCGTCTCTACATCCGTTCGTCTCCCTTTCTACACATGAACAAACACACATAAGGAAAAACACAAGCCCAGAGCCTTCAATAAATTAGACAATGAAAACAAAAAGATATTTTTATACTACTTCCTCTTTCCTGTAATTGATGCTGGTTTTCCATGTAAAGTGGTGAAATAAAGCTTCCTTTTAAAACAAATATTTATTTAAGTGAAAAAAAAAAAAAAAAGGAGATGGCTGATTTAGAATGTGGGAAAAATGATGCCCTGACCGGTGTGGTTCAGTTGGTTGGGTGTCGTCTAGCGCATGAAAGGTTGCAGGTTCGATTCCTGGTCAGGGCACATGCTGGGATCTGCGCTCAATCCCTGGTGGGGGGTGTGCAGGAGGCAGCTGATGGATGTTTCACTCTCAAATTGTTGCTTCTCTCTCTCCCTCTCCCTTCCTCTCTCTCTAAAAAGCAATTTTTTAAAATTTAAAAATGTAATAAAAAATATAATGTGTGAAAATGACCATCTAGGTGATACAAGGACATGGCAAAAATGGCGTGGATGGGACAGGAATGAATGCAGTTTGAGAAACACTGATCTTTTA